ATCCAAAACCTTATTTAGGTGATTATGAAAGCCAGAGTGATCTTACGCCCCCACGGGTTCCCATGGAAGGGTGTTCCAAAACTTCACTCCTCTGATGGTTAGAAACCTTCGTCTAATTTCAAGCCTAAACTTCCCAACGGCCAGTTTATATCCATTCGTTCTCGTGTACACATTAGTACTGAGCTGAAATAATTCCTCTCCCTCCCTGGTATTTATCCCTCTGATATATTTAAAGGAAGCAATCATATCCCCCCTCAGCCTTCTTTTGGTTAAGGTAAACAAACCGAGCTCCTCGAGTCTCCTTTCATATGACAGATTTTCCATTCCTTGGATCATCCTTGTGGCCCTTCTCTGTACCCGTTCCAGCTTGATTTCATCCTTTTTAAACATGGAAGACCAGAACTGCACACAGTACTCCAAATGCGGGCTTACCAGTGTCTTGTATAACAGAACCAGCACCTTCTTGCAGCCCCAGCTCTGCCCCATGCTGCAGGTGACCCACTCACAGCTCACAAGGTGGGAGCGATTGGGAAGAGGTGGCTGGGGAGATTGGGGGGACAGGGCTAGAATTCAGGAGAGCTGGGGTCAATTCCCAGCTCCGCTGCAAACTTCCTGTGTGATCTTGGGCACGTCTCTCTGCACCTCAGTTCCCCAGCAGGAAAATCATCCTTTATTTCTCCCACCTAGAGTCTATTTTGACTGTGAGCTGTTGACAGCAGGGACTGTCCCCTCCTGTCCGTACAGCGCCTGGCACAGAGGGGCCTGCAGGTGCTGCTCTACCAGACGTGCTGCTAATCAAGTGTTCTGCTTCTCCACTGAAGTCGCTGTGACTTTCTTCTAGGTCTGCAGCTATTGGATGAAGCGCAGGCAGGAGTCCGGATGCTGAAAGCCCAGCTGGGTAATGTCAGTGCAGCGTATGGAGAAATCCAGATGCGTCTGGACAACGTCAGTGCAGCGCGAGGAGCAGTGCAAGGTCGCTGCAGTAAGTACTAGCTGCAGTGCTGGCTGGTGCCGTTTCTCCTGGTGCTGAGGATAAACGGAGGATTTCAGGCTCCAGGGCTGACAACGCAGCGCCTTTCACCAGCACCGAGTTCTCGTCCATTAAAAATCACCGGTGGCTGCACCTGGGCCCATACTGTGGTGATCACTGTGGAGTTAAATTACACCCTGGGCCTCGTTAGCCTAATGGGAGCACCCAGCTACCAGCTCTTCTTAGATGCTCCAAACCTGTCAGGTCACAGGCAAAAAGTGATACTGGCATTCCAGCGTATGGGGCGTTACTTTCAGACCCATCACTGAGCCAGCGCCCCCGGCAGGGTGTTGCGGAAGGTGCCAAAGTGCAAAAGACCCAAGATCTTCACCACTTAAGGTCACTGAAAATTGTTGATACTGAACTGGGAGATTTTCCACCTGGGGGAGCTACATTCCCCCTCCTTAATTTCCCCTGCCAGCTCAGCTGAACAGTGAGTCTCACCATTCCCATTACAGCTGTGCTGCTCTGCACTGGGACCAGCGCCCATGCTCCAGTCCAGATGCAGCTGCATTTCGGTGCTGGGGGAGTGACCCCGTGGTGTCTGCTTTCTGCAGCGCTCTTTGGGATCCATCATGTGCCCAGAGAACGATGCTGGAGAATCAAAAGTTTCCTGGGCTTGGGGCAGCTGAAGGGCAGGGGAAATACAGCAGTAGAAACCCTGAGCTCCCGGCACGTGTCCCTGTGACATTAGCCCGGGCGTCTCACCTCAGTCTCTGCTCCTAGGTGAAGTGCTGACAAAGCTCTCCAGGGGCTGGAGGTTTTACGGTGGGAACTTCTATTACTTTTCACAAGAAAGGAAGTCATGGGATGATTCCGAGCAGTTCTGTGTGTCTCAGGACTCGCACCTGACATCTGTCTCCTCCCAGGCAGAGCAGGTGAGTGCAGGAAGCTCCTAGGGAGTTGGACAATGGGTCAGTGCCTTGTTTCATACCAGAAGGTGGTGGAAGGTGGCAGCTGAGGTTGGAAACCATCGGAGAGGATGCCAAGCCTTGGAACGTGACTCGGGGGATTCACACATCAGTTTAAAAGCAGAGATGGGGCTGTGGAACAGTGCCAGGATCTGGACTTCCCAGAGTCTGCAATGTCGGGGGAAGGGGATTTGGGGTCAGGCTCATTTCTGATTTTCCCGACTTCCAATGAAGCATTTCCTCCAAACCCAATGACCTTTCCCAGGGACAACCCGCTTTGATCCCTCTCCCCAGGCCTGAGCTCCTGCTGGACAATCTAGAAGCCTGTATCTGGAAGGCTTGTGTGCAACGGGCCATGTGCCTGTCAGAGAATCCTCTCTCCCCACGTGCCCACTGTAGCCCTCACCCCAGGCCTCTGGGGCACTTTCGGAGGAGGAAAATCCCACCCGCCGGCAGGGCTAGACTTTGCACCCAGTTCTCTGCTCCAAGCTTTGCCTCCTCCAAGGGCAGGGCGCTGGTGTGAACTCTGAGGTGCCGTCAGTCACTGCCGCAGCCCAGCTCTGAGGGGCTGTGGGGGGAGTGTTCTGAGACAGGTCGCTGCTGGTAGCTCCAGGCAGATACAGATGCAGACACAGACACAGAGATGCTCCAG